CCCAGCTAATTTTTTGTATTTTTTTAGTACAGATGGGGTCTTACAATGTTGGCCAGACTGGTCTCGAACTCCTGACCTCATGATCTGCCTGCCTCAGCCTCCCTAAGTGCTAGGGGATTACAGGCGTGAGCCACCATGCCCAGCAAAACTAAAATATTTTAAACAGAAAAAAAAAAAAAGACTAGTTACCATTGCATAAATCCAAAGTCTTCAATCTTAAATATCCTGTTTTTTGAAGACATGATTCCATAGGATCATTCTGATCTTTATGTAATCACATTTCCAATAATTTAATATGCATGCACCACTCATCATATTGTCCTCACAATGAATAATCAGCATCATGGCATCTGTTCTTCTAATCATATTATACAATTATTTAACTATGTGCTATGTTCTAGAAATCACAGATTTAATGGTGGACCTATATCCTAACAGTGAAGATGCACATAGAGCTGTTATGCTGTAGTTCATATCATGCAAATGTGTACCAAGGGCTATCCGGGCATAGTGGACGGGATGATTGATCTTGAGAAATGGTTCAGAAAGGTGCTACTGAGTCTTGAAGGATGAACAGGAATCTGCCACAGTAAAGAGTGGGAAAAGGACAGTCCTTCCAGTCTTCTCTCTTCTACGTAACTAAGTAGTACCCATCTTTGTTTTCAGCCATGTCCATGACGCCACTCCCTTATCACTACCAAGTCACCGCTTACTTCTGAAATTCCATTAACACTTGCAGTCTGAGCCACTCAATTTAGAAGTCACATGCAGTTAATGTTGCTTAAGTTATCTTCCATTTGTTCCTTTTGTGTCATTAAAAAACAAGATGTCTTGGGAAAATTCATTTTAAGCTTCCTTGACCTCTTTTCTATTTAGTGAAATAGGAAGCAATATTAGATAATCTCTGAAGTCCCTGTCATTAATAATTTATACAGAGACTGGAATAGGAAGGCTATGTCTTAACTGGATCATCAGCTCCTTAAAGAAATAGATAACTGGCCAGGCATGGTGGCTCACACCTGTAATCCCAGCCCTTTGGGAGTCTGAAACTGGCTGATCATGAGGTCAGGAGTTCGAGACTAGCCTAGGCAACACGGTGAAACCTCGTCTCTACTATTATACAATAGTATAAATATACAAAAAATCACATGAGGATGGCCGTGTATGCCTCCTCATGTAGTAGTCCCAGCTACTCAGGAGGTCGAGGCAGGAGAATTACTTGAACCCGGGAGGCAGAGGTTGCAGTGAACTGAGATCACGCCACTTCACTCCAGCCTGGGCAGCAGAGCGAGACTCCATCTCCAAAAAAAAAAGAAGAAAGAAAAGAAAAGAAAAGGAAGGGAAAAGAAAAGAAAAGAAAAGAAAAGAAAAGAAAAGAAAAGAAAAGA